GGAAGTAAAACTTTTCCTCTATCTTCTTAGGTTAATTCACTGAGGACCTGCAAATTAAACTAAGTAGCAGGTTAACATGAGAAAAAAAAAAGATTTATTCTTATATAGAAGAACTAACAAAACATGTAGCTAGCTCACTAAATGGTTAATGTTAGAGGTTTACGTACTTAATAGGTGAAAGGGAGTTGGGGAAAGAACTTCTGTGGGAAGAATGAAGAGGTCTCTTTAAAAAAGACAATGGATTCTAGGAGGATAAATGGGAGATAAGAAGGTTTTTGTTTTTGTTGTTTTCATCTGGTTTGCAAATTTGTGCTGTTAACTGATTCACCAGAAATCTTTTTAGCATCCTTGTCAATTTTGTAATACACACTCATCATCATCATCATCATCCCTCCTCACACACACATTTTGGAGGGTATTTAAGATAAACCTCTCCAATCTTGTCTAAATAGGCAGACCTCATTTTTATTATTAAGCTGTTTGCTGAGCTTATAATTTTGTGTACATGAATGGATCACAACTTTCTTGTAATTCACCTAGAACGGGACTCCTAAATCTGACTCCTGTTAACTTTTCAGGCAGTATCCTATAGATGTGTTGTACTGAACAACTCCCTAAAGATTTGTTGTCATCTTTTTTTTTTTATTAGAACAGCTATACCCATCATCGGGGTCAAGCTATAGCCAGAATCCAAGTACTTCTCTCCGCTTCCATTCCTATTATAAGTCATCCCACCTCTTGCCTGGACTATTGGGTCAGTGTCCTCACTGATCTTCTAGTCTCCGCCCTTCCCTTAGTCTTTCTCCACTGAGCTGCAGTCTGTTTTCAACATGGAAAAGGGGGTGATCCTTTTAAAGCACGGGCCAGATCATGTTACTTTCCAACTCGAAATCCTCAAACATCACATTTCTTTCAGAACTACACCTCAAATCCTTATAATGGACTATCAATCTGGGTCTCATTTTGTCTTTGAATTCAAGTTCTACCACATCTAGAGGACCACAGGGCCTCGTCCCACTGATTCTGTCTGAAAGCTCCCCAGGCCCCAGCTGTTCCTGCCGTAGGGCCTTTGATTAATAGTCATATTCAGTTCTCTTCCCTCTCTTCGGGTCTCTGCTCCTGGCAATTTGCCATAGAGGCCTGGCCTGACACTCTTCTTTTCAATGATACCTGCCATACCTCCTAAATGTTTCGTGTCATTTACTTTTCTTCCTGGCACTTATAATTTGACATATACACATTTATTTCTTTCTAATTATCCCTTGCCGCTCACTGGATTAAAGTCTATACTTCAATCTAGAGGGCAGCTATTATGTCTATTTTTTTTTTTTTTTTTACTGCTATTATCCCCAATGTCCACAAGAGTGCCTGGCTGAAAGAAAGTGTAGATAAACATTTGTGGAATAAATGAAATACATGTCCATCATTCATGCACACTCCATGTGAGGAGAGTTGAGCTTTGCAATGGGACTACAGGTCAAGCCGAGTCCTTCCTGTATTTGCTTCCTTTTTTTTTATATATATATATATTTGCTTCCTTTGACAACACAAAAGCCCAGGTTCTTGGGTCTTCCCTCATCAGAGGCAGGTGAGCAGTCCTGGGGCATGTCTAGTCCTGCCCCAAACAAAGGATCAGAGAATTTCTTCTCCAACCCCAAGTCATATCCTACCTGAGAGTTGTTGTAGTAGAGTTTTCTTCATCTTGGTACTTTTTCAGAGCCTTTGTGTGCTCTTATGATTTGTATTCAGGGAAACAGCCTGGCCGGCCAGCCCTCATTCTGTTACCCACTTATGCCAAGCAGCCACTCATCATCTAGGACCAGGCAGAGGGCACACAGAAGAGATATCAGACTGGGAAGAAAGCATCACAAAGTTTTAGCTTTGTATTTTGAAGGAAATTTATATACATTATAGGAAGTTAAACTCAGCAAAACAACCTTCTTAGTGGAGATACAGAACCAGGAGATAGGCATCAGCATAATGTTCAAAATGGAATAGAAATGTAATTCACATACATGTCAATACATGCCAATACATAGTATACACATGTCAGGGTTCTATTAACGAAGGAACTGGTCGGATACGAAGCTGCTTCAAAGGAGAAGGCAGGCAACTGGTGTGTATACAGCTGAAGAAACAAGGGGGAGGAAGGGACAACTCTTGGGATGAGATTGCTAAATTAGACACAAAATTGGCTAAGGTTCTGACCCTAGCAGAGGTCATTTGTATTTTTATGGGATTTACATTGCCATTGGAGAAAAAATTTTCTGTACTTCTGCCCTATAACAAGGCTTGCAGCTTAGTTTTCTCTAAGTTAACTTCTGCACTTAAAAGAGTAGTAAAATGCCCTAATTGTAAAGAGTAAGTCAAAGTTAGTAGAGTCCAGAGACCCTTGGTGGGCTCAACTGATGGTGCCTTTACCATGACACTGAAGCCCACAGTCATCTTGCCTGATTTTCTTGCAAGTTCTGGTTCTAACAGGTACAGTCCAGTGGTGCATATTTTATTTTATTATTTTATTTTAATTAATTAATTAATTTCAAGAGAAAATATTTTAGTATTTAATGTCTTAGTATTAATCAACAGCTATTGATTCAAGAGTTAAAATGTTCCATCAAATGTACACACTTGAATTATTAAAATTTAGAATTATAATAAAATCCTCAATATGCTGCCATTATGTAATTAGATAAATAACAACAACATCAACAGTCACTAGTAGTGTGCCAAAATCATGGCATAAGTTTATAAATATATTAAGATTTCTTTTGTTTTATTATCCTCAGAAACCCAGGACCACTCAATGTTCATTTACTTGTCATTTTCATCAGAGATCATTCTTACTGATTTTGCATGCTACTGAATACTCTTTCCCTAATTATTCCTGTTTTACTAAAATGAAAATTAGAACAATTTTTTTGGAAACAAAATGAAGTCAAATTAATTCAACAGCTGCTGAAACTTCACCTGAAATTTTAAACAGCTCCAAAGCCACAAAAGGAGACGATAAACACATTAGCTTTAATATAGATATCATGCAATAAAAATGGAAAGATTTATTTTGGGAAAGTTAACAGAAATAGAAAAATCAATTAAAATTATGTTCACTAAAAGTCTTATCATTAGCATTTTTATTTAGTACAATATATGCTAGAATATAATAACAATATGCCCTTTCTTATCATGGGGAGTCCCTTATACAACTAAAATTCATGGCCAACGTTTTATATGACAAAAGAAAAATAAACTAAACCTGTAAATTCTCAGGAAAAGAGCAAGGATATAGGAAAATAATGTATTTTATATAAATTACAAAAGACAGTTAACGGTGAAAATCCATTACCTTCCTCTGACTCAATTTTACAAAATAAAGTCAACATGTATTCTGTAAACTAGCTGCTAAGAGTGCATGAACAGTGTGGCCCTTTCAAAAGATAGTGGTCAAAGACTATTATCTTGATGCCATACATAGTTCTTAACTGGAGTTGAGCTTCCTTTCATAGTCTTCTCTAAGCGGTGGTAGTTTGGCAAGATTTTCATCAGGAAATCCAACTGTAGTGTCTGGGGCTGTGGTCGCCCAGTCTGCACCTGATGAAGGCAGTCTGCACCTTTGCATCACTGTATTCTCAGGGATGACTTCAAACGTATTCAGGTTGCAGCAAGCCCCAGTGATGCCCACATATGCTTTTGATTCGATAACATTATCTCCCATTTTCATGGCTTGGGAATAACAGCCAACCAATGATCATAGGTTTCTGTTCTGGATCTTCAGCCTCAGGAGTGATATTATCGGGGTGAGCATTTATGATAAGCACCTGTTTTTCTATGAGGTTACCTTGAGCAATCATTATCGGCCCAGCGTCTGCAATAATTCGTGCTTTAGAGTGAATCACCGGCCTAGGTCCTACAGTTACATCACCCCGGATTTCACTTTCTGCACACGCAACGCAACTGCTCTAGGAGCAGTCTTCACACTCTTTTGAGCCTTCTCCGCCATGGTTTGGACCATGAGTTTGCGTATTTTAAAATCATCAGATGAGTACATGTGATGAAGGCTAGAAAGTGTCTGGGATTAGCGTTAGGTGATAATGTATTTCCACGACTCCCTCCTCTACCTCCAGTCATCATTTATGTCCTTTATGCTCCTTTATTACCCTTGACCCCTTGGTGTCCCCACTCAGCACCCTGGATATGTCATAGTCATGTAAGTGACTATCCCTTTAAACTTCAGGCATTAAGTTTTCAAGAAGCCCGCCTCTACATACTGGCCTTCCGGCTCAGGGTCTGGTACATCTTACAAGTTCAATAAATGCTTGTTGAATAACTGCACTGATGAGTTGAGATCTGAGCCACGTTGTGAAAAAAAAAATATGGTGGGTGCTAGGCAGTGGAGGTGGAAGGGTGATTCAGCAGAGCTGAAGGACATCACAAACTCAGCAGTGGGAGGGTGGACTTGAACGTGGGACCAGGGGAAAAGAACACAGACAGAAAGCACCGACATCTTAATGAGAAGTGAGGTGTAAGGAGCCTTCTATTCACAGTCCGTCTCCCTCTCCCTTTGGCTGTCCTTTCTGTCACACGTGGGTAGGGAGCACGGCTGCCGGCGCCCGCGGTTGGTAGGAATAGGAGGGAGAGTGAAGAACACAGAAGCACAGGATGCAAGACGGAGCGACGGGCTGATCTACAGCCACCTCCCTCCGAAACAAGCTTCACCACGCGAAGACTTTGCGTCTTTGCAAAACCTTCCTGGGTCTATTCGAGGGTGACAGGACGGTTTCCATCGAGGGAGAAGAAGACACCCGATAGCTCCACTCCCGCTCGCCTGGCCCTGCAACCCCTATCCCGGCTCCCCGCGGGCGCCTCGAGGCGTTGCGGACCCGGGCTCCCAGCAGCAGTGTGGACCCGCCTGGGCTGGGATCCGGGAGCCCGCGGGCGCGAGCCCAAGCGGGCGTGCCGGGAGCGCGCGCGAGTCGGGGGCGGAGCGCGGGGCGGAGCTCAACGAGGGCAGCGCGGCGCGTCTAAGCTTTGCCACCGCCGGCCGCCCCGCGCCCCCAAATCCGGCTGGCGCGGGGTCCGAACCCCCGCCCTGTCGCCAGCCCCACGGGGGACGTGCTGCTGACTCGCGCCTACGACTCGGTAGCAGGGCACACCCGGAGAGGACACGGAGCCATGAGCCGCCTGCCCCGGAGGGTGGCGGCGCTGCTGCTCGGGCTGCTCGTGGAGGTAGGGGCCGAGGCCCGGGCCGCGCTTCCCCCGGCGCCTCTCAGATGCGCTAGCGGAGCGCGAACAATGCCGGGGGCTGAGCGGGGTGCAGTGCCGAGACGCCCCCGAAAGACCATCTGGGAGAACCCGAAAGGTCGAGCGGCGGAGAGCCCCAGCCTCGCGGACCTGCCTAAGTCCGGGTGCTGACTGTGTGGGGTTCCTGGTGACAAGGTCCCATCCGGCCTCCCCCCTGCTCCCCTCTGCCCTCCGCTCCCATCCCCACCCAACACCGCCTACCCTTCCCCACCCCCCCTTCTCCCGCGCTCCGGGGTTGCTTATTTCTCTCGCTTCTCGAGCCGGGGTCTGGAAGACTGAGGAGTGACCTTTATGTGTTGTACCCCAAGTTCCCTCAAGGAGGGCGGGAGTGGGGAGGGGGCTGTGCGCGCCGAGGGGGGGGGCGGTGGTCCCGGGAGCGGCGCAGGCGCAGAATCCAGGCCGCGTGCGGCTTGGGGTTGGAGTGGGTTGGAGGGTGGAGGTGCGAACGCGCGGACCCGTAGTTGTGGGAAAATGTCACGGAATACCAGGGAAGTAGCAGCAGTGAGCGCGAGGAAACATTCCTGCGTGTGAAAATGAAGCGCATAGTCCTCAGTTTCGAGAGAAAAATTCCACGGAGAGTTTGGGTGGTGGGCGTGATTTGCCGGAGCCTAGAGAGGGAACTTGTTGAAGCGATTGAGAGTGGAGGCGCCGGGTTGAACGCAACGCTCCTGCCCTCCCTCCAGCCCGCCCCGCCCCGCCCCGCCCCGGGCTGGAAAGTTGCGCCCCCTGATGTGTGTGTGTGGGGGGGAGTTCCCCGTTTTTGCTAAAGCGGGTTCTTTAAAATGTGAGCTAGTAGGATTTTGGGGTGTGGAGTCTGAATTAGGGTTTGTCCGATTCCCTGCTCATCTTCATTATTTTGAAGGAAATTTGCATTAAATTAATGAAATCAGAGTGAATGGGTGATGAATACTTACACTCCTTTCTGTCTTTCGTATTTTAGAGGTCCGTAAAACTCTTTTAAATAGTTAGGTATCTGTGCTGGAAATGACTGGTTTTCTTAGTTGATTAAAAAGTAATTATTAGGAAATGTTGGATGGGAACGTCTTTTTAGCCCTCGAAAATAAGGTTGATGGAAAAGCTGCTTGCGCCAGGCCGACTTTTTGTTTTTCTTTTCTTTTTTTTAAGATTATTTATTTGGAGGAGAGAGAGAGAGAGAGAGAGAGAGAGGCGCAAGCGTACGAGCAGGGGGAGGGGCAAAGGGAGAGGGAGAAGCTGACTTCCTTTTGAGCAGGGAGCCCGATGGGGGGCTGGATCCCAGGAGTCTGGGATCATGAACTGAACTGAGTGAAGGCTGATGGTTAACCGACTGAGCCACCCAGGCACCCCTGTTTTTGTTCTTAATATCCCTCTGCCTTCTTATTTAATATTTTTGTGTGGTGCCTCCTCACTTGCATTCTTTGCATTTGTTCAGAATTTTAAGACCTTAGGAATCACATCTCTGTGACTCACTAGACAGAACGACGGTGAAGTGACTCTGAGAGGACTGTTTAGCTAAAAACCAATGCATCCGTACTTAGGCATGCAATGCCCGCCTCCCAGCCACCTTTTAAAATCAGCTCTTGATAAAATTATCTAGCATTCCATTGTCCTGCCTCTCCCAGGTCTTCAGTGTGTGCGGTGCTGTGCCCTGTTAGGTAGCTGAGGCCGCTTCAGGGACCCAGTTCTTTCCAAAGAAGCTGTTGCATAGGAATTTATCCTCTTAGTAGAGTGTTCAAATCATGTCTGAAAGGTTGAAACGATCTCAACGGCAGAACTGTGACAGCAGTGAAAAGGAAATGACTAAGCTGATGTTTTCCCAAAGTCAAAAATCTAGATGATTGGTAATTTGTGTTTTCAATAGGATGGGTGGTGTAGCCCACTTTTATGAGATGATTATCCTAAGCACCTATTTTGTCTCTGGTGGAGAGGTGTCTCTCTGAAGAATTGAGATTTTTTTTTTTTTATTCAGCACATGGAATTTTATACATGAGATAGATTCAGAGATGTTTTCATCTTAAATTGATTGCTCTGAATTTCATCTAAAATTGGTTGTTGTCAGAGCACCTTTGACGCTCTTGAAGTCCTGAATCACATGCAGTAAGTGTGCAGTAGCAGTTGCCAAATATGTGAGGAGGCAGAGTTCTCTTCACGTTAAGCACGTAAAAGTACTGATGGAGATATTTGGTGATCTCTGACAGCCAACTGCAACCCAGCAGAGTTGCCTCTGTTTCTTTGTTCTGCTTGAACTGGTTTAATTGTAGTTGTAGTGTAGTTGATTATATACTGCCTGGGAAAAGGGCACCCTCCTAGCAGCGGTTACTCCATTCCAAACCTGCAGCATTCTGTTCCTAGCCAGCACCACCCAGGATTGGGCAGGGAGGTTTTATTTATGTCAGCAAGAAGTCCTTGAGTAGGGAGGGGAACTAGAAGCTCACCATCCCTTTACAGAAATTCACTTACATATTAGACATAAAGACTGCATATTTGTTTTTTACTTATCAAATATTTATAGAGTGCTGATTACGAATATTCCCTTAGCAATTACTTTTATCGCCATTTTGATTTCAAATGGAAGCTTTTAGAAGTCCATGGTCTCACTGCTGTTAAATGCGAGGGACTTGAGATAAAAACCCAGGCAGCTGGGCTCCACCTCACCCTGCTGTTCTCCTGGCTCTCCTACTGCTGGGTCTACAGAGACGTGGAAAGAATTTGCCCAGAGTATGTCCTGAAACCAGTGGTGGACTTGGAGAGGTATGTGTTCCATGAAACAGGTAAACCTGCAAAATATGCTCTAGAACTCAGTCGCCCTTCCTTAGGGGACCCATATAATTTAGCATCCAAACTATGACACTTAGGAGAATGAAATTGGGAGCTCTTAATAACCGGACTTGCTCAGCAAGCATCCATCAACAGGGTTGCCCTAGGAAACTGGGTTGTGTGCTCACCCTGCAGCCTGGACAGGGCTTTAAGTAGGAACAGGCTGTTGAGAGCACCGACCCTTCCCCAGGGAGGCTTCTCGGGAGCTCATTACTGAGGTGACCTTTCCTTTCTATTAACTGAGAGCTTCCTACGAATTGCATGAGAAGCTGAGGGCTCTTACTTGATCTTCCTGACTCCCCTGTCACTTTGCTAGAAGCTTAGGCCCCAGGCACCCAGGTCATGAATGTGGTCACAGACTCGGGAAATCCCCCCAAGCCTTTTTTGGGTAGTAAAATTCTAAAGTTCTATGCTTCTGCCCTGAGAACAGAGCCTCCAGGAAGACTGAATGTGCTAAGCTGGTAAAGTAATTCCCAGGGGCCTTCAGTGAGCTGCAACAGCACCTGAGAAACCAGAAGAAAAAAAAAAAGTTTCAAATCTGACTGTGCTTTCGTTGAACCTGGGGAGTAATTAGGCCCTAAGGGTATGTGCCTCCCCCAGGGGCTTTTTATCACAGTACCTCATTTTCCAGATATTGTCATTGCGGGCTCTTTCTGGAGGTCAGGTTGTTGACACTTTTATAATAGGCTTAGTAGTATTTGTTCTAAGGGTTCTGAAATGAGCCGAGAAATACGTAGTGTACTCTTTAGTATAACGTTCCCCAGCGCAAGTGCTGGGTGTTCTGTTGCATCCATTCACTGCGGGGGGGTGGGGAACGAATTCTACTGGGTTACCGTATTGGAGGGTCTGGCATCAGTATCTTTCTCTTTCTCCCCTGGAACCCCAAATTGGAAACCTTTGAGTGAGGCTGCTCTGTGTGTTTCCAAGTTGTTCCCACAAAAGAACAACCCTTCTTAGGCTAGAAAAAGGAGAGGTCTTCTAGAAAGAGAGGGTTGGAAAGTGAACATTGTCTTTTTTTTTTTTTTTGCCATAAGGACAGACTTTAATATGAATAACTTCAGTTTTATGGGAAAATCTTCCAATTACCCATTCGTTTCTTTTTTTTAAATTTTATTTTATTATGTTATGTTAATCACCATACATTACATCATTAGTTTTTGATGTAGTGTTCCATGATTCATTGTTTGTGTATAACACCCAGTGCTCCATGCAGTGCGTGCCCTCCTTAATACCCATCACCGGGCTAATCCATCCCCCCACCCCCCTCCCCTCTAGGATGGGGTGGCTGGGTGATAGACATTGGGGAGGGTATGTGCTATGGTGAACATTGTCTTTTGCAACTAAGGAAAATAAGAGGATTACTGAGTATTTTTCTAAAGTCCTATGTATTTTGGTGCCTGCGAGTCTTGAAATTAGAACCAAGTCATGTTTAAGAGTGTTTTTTTTTCTTGCCAAATGTTTCTTGTGCCCTGGAATGCCAGCAATTGTGGCAGCCCTTGGGTGCCAGTTCTCTGAAATAAACCTTTTCAACCCTCCCACTTCTTAGAGCTTTTGGAATGTGAGCAACGTGCAATTTGAATGAAAAAGAAGACTCTAGGGAGTTTGTTATCTCTAGAGGCTCCGTGGGAGGCTGGGTGCTGATGGATGAGAGTTGGCAGTGATAAATAATCCCAGGGGCAAGCACTCGCTCTGAAGTAGGGAAAACCTGGCTCCAGGTATGTGAGGGGGGCCAGACTTGGGGCTCTAATTGGCCCTTGATCTCTTTTGTCTTGGGCACAGCTCTAAACGCCAACTGGGGGCAAGTGACTCTCGAAGTACATGGATTAGCCTAGTGGTCACTTGATCTAGCCATAGGATGACAAGTAATTTTCCTGGAACTCATGTTTGTCATCTCTTCTTGATGAGGCCTCCCACATGTCACCCTCATTGAGGCCTATCTTGATCACCCTATATAAAATTCCAGCCCAATTCCCCTCCCAGTCCCCTTGCTCAGACCAATTCCCTCCTTTCTCTGTATCTATTACCTCTAAGATATGATGGAATTTACATTATAGGGGCAAAGGTTTGCTCCATTTTGTTACCTGAAATATCCCCAGCTCCTAGAACGGTACCTGCCACAGAATAGGACT